GCCGGGAGCGGCCACTGCACTCCAGTCTGGGTGACCAAGTGAGACTCCAACTAAAAAAAATAAAAATAATAAAAATAAAATTGTAGAGATGAGGTCTCACCAAGTTGCCCAGGTGGTCTCAAACCCGCAGGCTCAGGCAGTCCACTCACCTCAGCCTCCCAAGGCACGGGATTACAGGCTGAGCCACCGAGCCCGGCTCTTCAGATGGTTTTCATAGTTGAAAACAGTGGTTAACTTCACTATCACTTCAACAGAAAATTTCTACCATGGGCTTGTATCTTATTGATAAGTAAGTACTGAATAATTCTTTCAGATTTGTATCCAAGGTTATTGCTAGTATATAAGTCTTGGTGTGTGAGTGCATTAAGGAGATGCAAACATGGATGCAGTTAAACACCTGAGTTAAGGAACGTAAAATTCAATCCTGTCCCATTTGAAAGGACTTGGGATGTTCAGAGCATTTCTCTTAAAGCGTATTTTTCCTCTTCTAGATGGCAGACTGTGGAGGATTGCCCCAAGTAGTTCAGGTAAAGAGGTCTTGTTTTTTTAAAACAGCCATTTGGTCCTACCTCTCTGCCTATGCAAAGATTAATACTCTCTCGTTTTGTCCTCCCAGCCTGGGAAGCTCACCGAAGCCTTCAAATACTTTTTGCAGGGAATGGGCTACAGTGAGTACTCACAACTTTTGTCTAGCCACAATGTATGGATAATGGAGGTCAGCTTGACATCTGGAAGCACACAACTCTCAGGGCATAACTGCTATGTTAACCAGCTTTAAGTAAAGCAGATGCCAGCATGTTTACAGAGCACTCGTTGTGCATTTGTTGGATGAGCTAACACTTATTGAGCACTTACCTTGTGTTAGGCACTGTAGATCATTAACCTAAGAGGTAATTCTGTTATTAGTCCCCTTCTATAGAAGAGGAAACTGAAGCTCAAAGAGGCTAAGCACATTTCCCAGGGTAGTAAGCTGCACAGCCATGGTTCAAGCCCTGGCAGTCTGATTCCAGAGCCTACAATTTTAACCACTGAAGCTTAGGTTGTCCTAGCTGTAAATCTGAAATTATGATTTGCACTTGAACTCAGTTGGTTAATAACTCCTGGCCTAAAGAAATGAAATGGACTTCAGAAGAAAAAGTAGCATCTTCAGTTAAGTCTATTCCACCACAGGAGATGAGCTTGCAAAGTATTTTAGAGCACTTCCAAGGATGTGTCCTGTCATGCTATTGTCCTGGCCTCTTGTATTGTGAGACCCCAAAGCTTTCTCATTTGTCACAGAATTATTTACATTTGCTCCTTTCTTGGAGTTTTCAGGAAAAAACCTTTCACCCAGGTACAGAGCTATTTACCCAATAGGCTGATTTTTCTTCTGTCTTTGGTATCAGTGTGGATAGTGGCCACTGGTGAACCACCTGGCCAGCTGCTCTGGGCAGCTGGCCCCTGGGTGCAGCCCTGTACCTGCCAGGCAGACCATGTATGTCCTGTCTCAAGTGGCTGTGTTGTCCCCATCTGTGAGCCACTACCAACCGAGCCCACACCCACAGCCCTTTGGCTCACTGGGAGGAACAGAAGTCCCTCTTCTAGCCTGTCTTCATACCTTTCTTAAGGAAACAGCAGCTCTCCCAGCCCATTTCTGATCCAGAGAAGGGTGACTGTTTATAGTGGAGGGGAAAACAATTGCCTTCTAGTTAAGGGAAGCATCTGTTAGCCTTACCTCCTCTCTGGGACCTTAAAATAACATTTCATCCCTGGCTTAGAGTATTTTGTCAGTGTCTACTAGGCAGCTGAGGTTGCCACTTGGCATTCTCAGATCACTAACCTGCCTTTTCCTGTGTCCATCCTGCTTCCAGTCCCGTATGTGCAGCTCAGTCACCTGAGCACCGAGTCAGGTACCTTCCTCTTTGCTGGCCCGCCCCTGCCTCCCAGCCTCTCCTGGCTGCACTGGCTGCCTGCAGCATGTCCGCGGTTTTCCTGTTCAGTGAGAGCCCGATAGAACGTGGCTCATTATGGCCCCAGGAGATTTAGCCTGCAGGCCCAACCCTGGTCTCCCAGGAGGAAGAAAGGATCTGTTGGAATGGGCTCTTCTTGTCATCCTAAATCCAGGGACACTGCAGAGCTGAAACTTGATAGGCAGGGCCCTACTTCCAACACTACCTACTGGTCCTTCAGCTAGCCTGCAGGCACAGGACTCAAAGGGCAGCCTTGACTCTAAATAGGAGTATCAGTGCTCAGCACACTAGTTCACACCTATAATTCCAGTACTTCGGGAGGTGGAGGTGGGAGGATTGCCTGAGCCCAGGAGTTCAAGACCAGCCTGGGCAGCATGGCGAGACCTCGTCTCTACAATAAATCAAAAACTTAGCCAGGCATGGTGGCACATGCCTGTAGTTCCAGCTACTTGGAAGGCTGAGGCAGAAGGATCACCCGAGCCCAGCAGGTCAAGGCTGTGGTAGCCGTGAGCTTGCCACTGCACTCCAGCGTAGGGACAGAATGAGACCCTGACTCCAAAAACAAAAACAAAATTGTTATCTTGGAATAAATAAATAATGGGGGTATCAGAGCCTTCAGGTGATGGTAACTTTTGACCCCAGCATTGAAATGACAGCTGGGGGAGTGGCCAGTGCCTCAGAATGATAGGCAGGAGGGTTATGCCAGGCCCTATCCCAGCCAAGCTAGAAGGAACTTAGGGTCAAGCAGTGGCGGAACAGGAGCCTGAGTTAAATATCTGCCCCCAGAGCTCTTCCCTCCTAAGCAGTCTGCACTCACCCTTGAACAGAGGGCAGCTCCAGGCCTCCCTGCCCTCTCCTCCACCCACACCTTCTACGTGTCTCCTCCCCAGGTAGCAAGGGTAGCCTGTGGACACGGATGGTAGTCTCGTTGTATCGGGCTTGCACTGTGTTTATGAAACACCTTCATACTTGTGTGGTTCGTCTTTTCTTTTGGTCTAGTCTTGCATGCACTGTAGGTTTTGGTTCCCAAAACCTCCTTTCTAATCACTGTATGAATGATGTGGGCATATAGCTAAGAGGCTATACTCTGGACTTAGGTTTCTGCTGTGGATTAGAATCAACTGAGATTCCAACCAAATCTGAGGATTAAGCAGCCTTGCATATCACCACATACCTAGAGCAAATAATGCACAGTGGGAATAGCTATATCTTGTCCTGGATGTCACCCTAAATGGGTTGGAAAAACTCAACATAAAGCCTTTGGTAAAACTTATAGATAAGCTGGTATAACCAGGGCTCTGTCTTCTAGTTCTCTTGGTTCTTTGTTACAGTACCATCTGCCAGTATGACCCGGCTCGCCCGGTCACGGACCCACTCAACCTCGAGTAGCATCGGCTCTGGAGAAAGTCCCTTCAGCCGGTCTGTCACCAGCAATCAGTCAGATGGAACTCAAGAGTCCTGTGAGTCCCCTGATGTCCTGGACAGACACCAGACCATGGAGATGTCCTGCTAAGCAGATGCTCCTTCCCTGGACCATGCAATCCATCCTTCTTCAAATGACCACTCCATAATATAACATTTCATTCTGTAAGCTGGCCTCTACTATCTTTAACTCATGCATGGCCACTGAAACCTCTCTCTAGTAGCCTGGATTTATCATTCTGTCTGCCTGCCCCACCCCCTTTTGTATATACCAAAAACCATCCATGCCATTACTGTAACATTCCAGCATCTTAACTGATCTGAGTTTCATATCTTCTCTTGCCAGCTTTTTCCTGTGCTCCCCCAGCTATGTATCAGAAAAGATTCTTTATCCCAACTCTGTGTGTGTGCGAGCACGTGTGTCTGTGTTTGTGTGTGCATAGGTCTGTGATTTTAGACATGCTTCCTTGTAGTGCTTCTGCAAAAAAACAAAAAAGGGACTTTTTTGCATTCTCAGTGATGTTTTTCTCAGTGATGTTTTTAAGGGAAATGTGCGGCACAGATTTCTGGGTTGGATAGGCCATTGCATTCTCTTTTGTTTCCAAATTGGTCAACAAGATGTGCACAGTGATTTCAGGAGAGAACAGCTCTTAAGGAATGAGGAAGATCCTAAGTACTGTTTGGACTGTTGATTGATTGTGACTAGTAGTAGAAGGGACCTGGTGCGTAGAGAGGCAGGCAGGTTGGCCAGCCACCTCCTCCTGTCCAAATGAATTCACGTGTGCTATTCTGTAAATAAAAGGGAGATATATATTCTGCTAGAAGCCCATGAACCATCAACAAGGTTCTGATGCAGCAGCTTTATCCAGGGAGTGAGTGTGGCTTAATTACTGGACATTCTTAGCACAGGAAGGTGGAAAACAAAATGCCAGGCTTCCGCTCAGCAGGAGCAAAGTGCTGTCACTGTAGTGTCTGAATACCACTTATTAGACATCCACATATCGCAAGAAGTGCCTCCCAGATCTATGATGGAGACTGTTTCTCTACGCCATAATCCCCTCAAAAGGGAGAGAGATCAAGTCGATGGTGAGGAAATGGGTGGGGAGAGAGGGACAGCCATAAACATGAACAATATTGTGTTTAATGAGTATAGCCTTGATTTCAGCAGACTTAGTGGAAACTAAATTAAACTGATACAGAGCCCATTACTCAGAAAGGTTCTTAATCATCTGAACTCCCTTTTGTAGGCGGGAAGGGGCCAATCTGTAAGGGCAGCCTTGTCCAGGTAAAGTTGTTTTCAGCCTTCTGTCTGCTGTTATGTGAGGGGTCTCAGCCAGCCAGAGAGTTTCGCTGGAGGAGGGCGAAAGGACCATGGAGACCAGCTGCCACACAGCAAGAGCCCAGCTCTCGGGAGCATTGAGATTGGGCCCCCTCCACCCACTGGAGATGTAAGCTCAGGGTTATACAGTTTTGAATCTGGGGAAGGGGCTTTCAGACACATTGTTTGCTTTCTGCTGAAATAAGGAATGCATCACTCTGCCAGAGGACAACTTTTTACAGATTATTAAATAAAGCTGTATATGTCTCATTGTTACCTGATTGCTGGTGTTATTTCTCTCATTCTGGGGTTCAAGGAGGGACTGAGTCACTGTATGTTGGTTCTGTGCTGAGCATTTCCACATGCAATCTCTTATCCCACCCAATGACACTGTCCACTTATAGGGAGAAAATGAAGTCTCAGGATAAATCATTTGCCAAGGTCATATACCCAATAGGCCCTGCCAGGATTAGAACCCAGGTCCATACATGTCTATTTCCCTCAAGCAAAAAATCATGAGAAACCCAACACTGCTGTTAGTGATGAAAGAGGAGAAGCTGAGGTCTTGGAAGGTGCTCCACTCCTCAGCTCTAGCACTTAAGCTGTGGGATAGCTGGGTCCCACCTATTATTTATGCAGGGGGACCAAAAAAACAATTTTTTTTTAGAGTCTCGCCCAGGCTGGAGTGCAGTGGCATGCTCATGACTATCACAGCCTCAGCTTCCTGGGGTCAAACAATCCTTCCCCCTCAGCCTTCCCAGTGGCAGGGACTGTACACATGCACCACCACACCTGGCTAATTTTTTGATTTACTGCAGAGACGAGGTCTTGCCAAGTTCCCTGGCTGGTCTCAAACCCAGGGGCTTGGAATCCTTTCACTCTGGCCTCCCAAAGTGCTGGGATTACAGCTGTGAGCCACCATGCCTGGCAAAAACTGGAATTCATTTTTTTTAATTGTGTATTTATTCGTACACGTTTACACCTTCAAAGTACTTTCATTTTGATGCAGTACACCTATTGAGATGCTTTTTCCACTGCTCAAAACAGTTTTTGAACTCAGCAGTTTTGATGCTTTTTAGTGCTTCTGCCATTTTTTGCTTTATCTCTTCCATATCAGGAAAAGGTTTCCCTTCAAGGACATTTTTCATCTGAGGAAAAAAACAGTCGTTCGAGGCCGGGCCTGTTGACTCACCCTGTAATCCCAGCACTTTCGGAGGCCGAGGCAAGTGGATTGCCTGAGCCCACAGGTTTGAGACCAGCTTGGGCAACTTGGTGAGACCTTGTCTCTACAATGAAACAAAAATGTTTCCAGGCATGGTGGCACATACCTGTAGTTCCAGCTAGTTGGAAGGATTGCTTGAGCCTAACAGGTCAAGAATGCGGTAGCCATGACTGTGCCACTGCACTCCAGCCTGGGCAACAGAGTAAGACTCCAACTCAAAAAAAAGTCTTTTTTTGGCCGGGCTCAGTGGCTCAGCCTGTAATCCCGCACTTTGGGAGGCCGAGGTGAGTGGATTGCCTGAGCCCACGGGTTTGAGACCCGCCTGT